CGATATAATTGGACCTCAGGGCATTTTGGAGTTTAACCCCTTGACTGTCACAACCCCAAACCTGAGGTGTCTCAAAATTCACCCCCCCCCCCACACACACAAAAAAAACAAAAAAATATTTTTTCTTATGAAATGATAATCTTTTCCTGATTGTAATGACACCAAAAGAACGAAATTTGATGGAAAACTGATGGAATTATTCTCTCGCGAAATTAGCGACCTTTTTTCGGCTAATTCCATTGTTCCAGTCAACCAAACTCATAGCTATTTCTTTAGAACTCCATTTTTTTCTATCGATTGAGTACAGCTGATTTCAACTACCCAATAACGTGGTCAGAAATTTGCAATTTGGCCAATTTCACGAAAATTAAAAAATATGACAATTTCAAAATAGTGTCTAGAATGAACAATGCAGACATTCCTGGCTCTAAAATAACATTTTCTTTGTTCATCAGTCACGTCTCCATGCCCTTCTGATATTACTCTTGCTTTCTATTTTGAATTTTTATTCAAAAAAAAAAAATAGAAGATTTACTGTCATACAGACTACTGAAATATTGTAATAATTGTATAAATAATGTCAACCCATTCATGACTGCATATTAGAATGGCTACTTGGACATTTATTGAAAAATGACATCATTTGTTTACTTTTGAACATCGGCAAAAATCAAACATTTCCTCTACTTTGAGCTCCATTTCAAGGTTCTTTTCATAGTAAAAACCAATCAAAATCACCTCTATTTCTATAACATGTTTTCCATTCTATCAAATGAAACTAAGAAAATGAGAACACAACCATAAATATTATACGAAAATAGACCACAAAGTTGGCATTTTAATTAAAAAAAAACCGGTTGGAGTTTTCTTCTCTCATCATGCACTGCGTGCTGCAGGATTTTTTTATTGGTGCACACTGACCATACAGACCCATTCTCTCATGTGTGGGCCTACCAGCTTTCTCCTGCTTGATTTGAAGCCACTAGAATTTATGAGTGTATATACGTCAAAAACTGTGGCTCATAAAACGTATATATACGACCAAAACAATCAAAGAGTTAAGTGGACAAAGGCAGTAGCTCGCCACATCATACGCGACGCTAAACGCACTTGTTGGCAAGGCTTAGTGTCTACTATTACCTCATCTTCCCCAATGTGTGCGGTTTGGAGAAGATACGGAAGTTGTGTGGCAAGTACACTCCAGACCCAGCTCCCGTTTTGCGGGTTGTTGGTGTTAGTGTTGCGGAACCTCTTGAAGTTACCATGGAAATCGGGAGCTATCTTGTCTGTATCTCTCAAGGGTTTCTCCTTTGTTCCTCATTTCTTGCGTCTAATTCTACCAAGGAGCAGTTGCCCTTGGATTTCTCCTTTGATGGAATAGAGTCATATAACATACCTTTCACTCTCCTAGAGCTAGTCCACTTATTCTGCTTGCCAGTCGTCGGCAGCTGGGCCTGATGATATTCATATCAGAGTGCTACAACATCTGCATTCTATGGCCCTTACAGTCCTTTTGCTCCTTTTCAATCTTATTTGGGTATGAGGGGTTCTCTCTCAACAATGGAAATCTGCCATTGCACTACCGTTTCACAAACCAGGCACCTCAGGGCTTGATACCTCTCACTGTCATTCCATTGCCCTGACCAGTGTAGTCTGCAGGGTGATGGAACGATTGGTGAATAGACATCTGATATGGTTCTTGGAGACTCACAGTAGTCTTTCCCCTTGCCAATATGGCTTTCACAAGGCCGCTCTACTTTGGACCCCTTGCTCCACTTAGATATGTATGTGCGAAATGCCTTTGCTAACAAACACTCTGTCCTAGCAGTCTTTTTTGATCTTGAGAAGGCATATGACACCACTTGGAAGTACAGTGGTCCCTCGCTTTTCGTAGTTCTCGGCAATCGTAAATTTCACCAATCATAGGGGTATTTTCGTATAAACATGGACTCGCTTTTCATAGGTTGACTCACGAATAGTAGTTCGTCCAGGACGCTTACGCACGGTGTGAGCCGGGGAGGCCTCCCTACCCAGCCAGTCTGGCATTGTTTACCAGTGAGTGAAGGTCCCCTCAAGTACTCCTACGAAATATTTCATAATATTCCACTCATTTTAGTGCTTGCAAGTACTAAATAAGCTACCATGGCTCCAAAGAAAGCTCCTAGTGCCAAGCCTGTGGTAAAGAAGGTGAGAAATATGTACAGTGACAAAGTCTTGTACCATTTTAGGGAAGTGTTAAAGAGACGCCAGAAACAGAGCTCTCTCCACAGTTACTTTGCGAGACAGGACTAGAGTGACTCTCAAGGTGGTCCTAGTGGCATTAAGAAACAGAGAAGAGAAGCAACCCCTGAGAAGCAATTGGTACCTGAGGTGTTGCTGGAAGGGGATTCCCCTTCCAAACTGTAAACAATCCAATCTCTCTCCTCCTCCAGTCTCCCATACACTAAGAAGAATCTCCAATAAAGGTAAGTGTTATGCTGTTAATGTTTCATTTATCATTTCCCATTGTATTGTTTATGTACTACATGTATATTTCATGTAAATTTTTTTTTTGTTTTAATACTTCTGAGTGTCAGAAACGGATTAATTGTATTTACATTATTTCTTATGGGGAAAATTGATTCGCAAATCGTAAATTTCGTTTATAGTAGCTCCTCCAGGAACGGATTAATTACGAGAAACGAGGGACCACTGTATAACATTTTAGCCCAAGCCCACTCCTTAGGTCTCCGCGGTAATCTACCAATCTTCCTTGCTGCTTTCTTGTCTGACAGACATTTTTGTGTCCGTGTTGGCGCCTTGCTTTCCTCAGGCTTTGTTCAAGCCAAGGGAGTCCCACAAGGTTGTGTCCTTAGCAATACCATTTTTCTCGTAGCTATAAATGACCTACCTTCCGTTCTTCCATTGCAGATTTGGTCATCACTTTATGTGGATGATTTCACTATAGCTTACTCAGGCGCTGACTGTCGCCTGGTAATAGCCTCCCTTCAGGATGCGATTGACCGAGTTTCCCATTGGATCACTTTTCATGGCTTTAAATTTTCTAGTGTGAAAACCCATTTTATTACCTTCACTAGACGTCCTCTTATCCCAGATATTACGTTGTATTTACTCGGCTCACGTATTCCAGAATGTGATACGGTCAAGTTTCTTGGCCTCTTCGATCGCCAGTTGACATGGAAACCTTACATTTCCTCTTTGAAGGCAGCTTGCCATGGCCAGCTGAATCTCCTTAAAATTCTTGCATTCCACCCGAGTCTTGTCCAAACTGGATTATGGCGACCAAGTCTATTCTGCGGCTTCTCCTACAACTCTTTCTAAGTTAGATCCCCTTCATCATCAAGGTCTACATTTATGCCTTGGTGCCTTTCGTATATCCCCTGTTGAAAGCCTCTATGCAGAGGTGAATGTTCCTCCCATAGCTGATCGTCATGATGCCCATTGTCTTCGTTACTTTGTCCGCGCTCATGACCTTCGTGTTTTTTCTACGTATAGGTTGGCCTCAGACATTAGTAGAAGCCCATTGTTTGTTCAGCACCCCTGCCTACCCCAACCATTTTCTCTTCATCTTCACTCACTCCAGTCTTCTCTCCAGTTGCCTCCTTTGTATGTTCATTTAGCATCTGCCTTTTCCCTTCCCCCTTGGGGAGTTCCGATGGTTCATGTCTGTTCTTCCCTACAACTGTGTGCGAAAGCTCTCCTGCCTATGACTGCTTCTCGCTCTCTTTTTCTCGATCACTTCCAGTCACATGCTCATGCCATCGCTATTTATACAGATGGTTCTAAATCTTCTGACGGTGTTGGGTTCACAGCATCGTTCCCTAATGATGATGTCCGAGGTCATCTGTTAGACTCGGCTAGTATTTTTACTGCCGAGTTGTATGCCATCCTCTTAGCGCTTCTTCGTATTACATGTATATCTCCTTTGACGTTTGTGATCATTTCATATTCCCTCAGTGCTTTACAAGCCATTAAACAATATGATTCCCCTCATCCATTAGGCCTTCGTATTCAACTATGGTTGCGCCATGTGGCCTGGACACGATGTACAGGGCAGTGAACAAGCGGATGCTGCTGCACGGTCAGCGGTGCATGATCTTCATGTTTCCTATAGAGTTATTCCATTCAGAGATTATTTTCCAATCATCTCGGCCTGTCTTCGCAGCTGTTGGCAACAATGGTGGTCGGGTATGCACCCTAACAAATTGCACTCTATTAAACCGCTTTTAGGTTTGTGGTCATCGTCTTACCACAGTTGGTTGCCGTTCTCGGGAGACTGCGCTCTCCCAGCTCTGCATTGGCCATACTCACCTTACCCATGGGTATCTCATAGAATGACACCCTATTCCTCTCTGAGGTTTGTCGGGTCCTTATTTGGTTCTTCATTTTCTTGTCAATTGCCCGGTTTACCAGCGAGCTTGCAGGATTTGCCTCCAATGACACCACCGCCCTACCACTCTTACCTTATCTTTCCTTCTTGCAGATGGTGCTGCCTTTGACTTAGTCACTTTTTTACTTTTTGTCAGTAACTGCTTTACTGTACGAACTTTGACACGTAGCCCTTAGTATCCCTTCCAGTCCTTTTCTCCCTTCACCTAGCTGTTTATAGCCTCAGCACTATTTTCTGCCCTACAGTGCTGTATGACCCTTGTCGGTTTAGCGCTTTCTTTGATTATAATAATAATGGGGTTTGCTATACTCTAGCTGGCGCTCAATTGAACTGGTGCTCTCACAAGGTACCAGGTGGGTCCCAATTATTTTAATACTGTGTACAATGAGTGTTAAGGCCCATTCTGTACTGCATAGCCCAATTCTGGAAGCAGGAAAAATAGTGTGTTGATTTACGTCTGGAGCGCTAGCAGTAATGCTTAGATCTTCCATTTGATGGTTAAAGGGTTAAATTCATTTTATAAATTTTAGATCATTCTTCACCTATTACTTGTTAGCAAAAATATCAAATTAATATACAGTACAGTGCTAACTTTATTATTATTTTTCAGCATATCAATGACATTTCGTTACGAATTGACTTGGATGCCACCTTGAAGAAAGCAGAAGCAATATACTTGCAGATTGCATCATCACCCAATGTGCCAGACTGTGTGAGGACAGTGTTAGGTCTTCCTTTACAAGAGCCTTCTACGTCTCAGCTCAGAATTCGTAAGGTGAAGTGATCGCATGATATCCCCCCACCCTAGCCTTCACCCTCTCTCACAATTATTCAATTCTCATGATGTTTACATGATTATATCACAATTTATGTTCAGTATTTTCTCACAATGAATTTGCTCAATTGTGCCTTATATAGAACCCTATTTACTGGAACAGTAAATTTGGTGATTGAATACAATAATCCCTTAACAGAAAATTTAAAACTTCTTCAGTCATTCCTGCAGAAAATTACTTTACAGTTGTGAAACACACCATAGTCGTCTTGTGTCTAAAATCATGTCTGTGAGGTGATTTTATTTTATATGTGAGGTGACTTCATTCTCAGGTTTGGACAGCTTGTATAATTTACCCTGCAAAGCCACCCAGAAAAATTGTGTTTTTTTTTTTACTTGTCATAATAGGAAAAGAGGCATTCACAAAATACAAATTATACATGAAATAATAATGGTCGCAATGAACTCTTTATAATTTCTGTTCACTCAGACATCTTGATGTTACAAAATCTTTTGACTCTAATATACAAATAACTTTATGTAGAAAAGTTTCCTAAATTCATAGAATATATTTTATTATTTAATTTGTTTATGAGACTACTATAAGTGTTGGCAGTGATTTTTTGCATAAACTTTCAGTGTTATGATTACTTAGTGTAGAACAAGTATTTCTTCATATGTAAATACATGCCAGCATCATATTAATGGCATAGGCATTGTAATATAGTTTTTAATAAACAAGTTTATCAGTGATGTGCAAGTGAGTATGTTGTACCAATGCTTAACTATTTTCTTGTAATTCTTTGATAATAAAAAGTGACATTATACACCACGAGTCCAGAATTATCCATGAGATGGTTACTAACAGTGAACTCATCAAATATTTTTATTTAGCCTTTAACCTCTTGGTTAAAGGCTAAATAAAAGTAATATATCTATATATATAATATATATATATATTTTTTTTTTTTTTTTTTTTATCACACTGGCCAGAATCTCCCAAGAGCACAGTGTCATCAGCAAAGAGCAGCTGTGACAACTCCCACTTTGTGTGTGATTCTTTATCTTTTAACTCCACGCCTCTTGTCAAAGACCCTCGCATTTACTTCTCTTACAACCCCATCTATAAATATATTAAACAACCACGGTGACATCACACATCCTTGTCTAAGGCCTACTTTTACTGGGAAATAACATACATACTCTAACTTGAGCCTCACTATCCTCGTAAAAACTCTTCACTGCTTTCAGTAACCTACCTCCTACACCATACACTTGCAACATCTGCCACATTGCCCCCCTATCCACCCTGTCATACGCCTTTTCCAAATCCATAAATGCCACAAAGACCTCTTTAGCCTTATCTAAATACTGTTCACTTATATGTTTCACTGTAAACACCTGGTCCACACACCCCCTACCTTTCCTAAAGCCTCCTTGTTCATCTGCTATCCTATTCTCCGTCTTACTCTTAATTCTTTCAATAATAACTCACCATACACTTTACCAGGTATACTCAGCAGACTTATCCCCCTATAATTTTTGCACTCTCTTTTATCCCCTTTGCATTTAATTCCCCATAATTTAATCCCACCCTTCTCCTGAACACCCTAGCATTTACTTCTCTTACAACCCCATCTATAAATATCTGCTTTACCCCCTTTCCTTCTACGTAATGCCTCACGCACCTCCCTCACACTCATATCCTGCTCTTCTTCACTCCTAAAAGATGGTATACTTCCCTAGCCAATGCATGAAATTACTGCCTCCCTTTCTTCGTTGATATTTAAAAGTTCCTCAAAATATTCTCACCATCTACCCAAAACCTCCATCTCCCTATCTACTAATTCTCCTACTCTGTTTTTAACTGACAAATCCATTTGTTCCCTAGGCTTTCTTAACTTGTTTAATTCACTCCAGAAATTTTTCTTATTTTCATTAAAATTTCTTAACAGTATAGATTACTAAATTTAAAAAGAGAAACTTCGTTTTTTTGGGGGGAGGCCACCCTGCCTCGGTGAGATACGGCCGGTTTGTTGAAAGAAGAAGATACGTGTGTGTGTGTGCGTGTGCGTATATATATTTTTTTTTTTATTATCACACCGGCCGATTCCCACCAAGGCAGGGTGGCCCGAAAAAGAAAAACTTTCACCATCATTCACTCCATCACTGTCTTGCCAGAAGGGTGCTTTACACTACAGTTTTTAAACTGCAACATTAACACCCCTCCTTCAGAGTGCAGGCACTGTACTTCCCCTCTCCAGGACTCAAGTCCGGCCTGCCGGTTTCCCTGAATCCCTTCATAAATGTTACTTTGCTCACACTCCAACAGCACGTCAAGTATTAAAAACCATTTGTCTCCATTCACTCCTATCAAACACGCTCACGCATGCCTGCTGGAAGTCCAAGCCCCTCGCACACAAAACCTCCTTTACCCCCTCCCTCCAACCCTTCTGGGCCCGACCCTACCCCCCTTCCTTCCATTTACAGAATGATACACTCTTGAAGTCATTCTGTTTCGCTCCATTCTCTCTACATGTCCGAACCACCTCAACAACCCTTCCTCAGCCCTCTGGAAAAACGTTTTGGTAATCCCGCACCTTCCTAACTTCCAAACAAACGAATTCTCTGCATTATATTCACACCACACATTGCCCTCAGACATGACATCTCCACTGCCCCCAGCCTTCTCCTCCGCTGGCAACATTCATCACCCACGCTTCACACCATATAAGACGTTGGTAAAACTATTACTCTCATACATTCCCCTCTTTGCCTCCAAGGACAAAGTTCTTTGTCTCCACAGACTCCTAAGTGCACCACTCACTCTTTTTCCCTCATCAATTCTATGATTCACCTCATCTTTCATAGACCCATCCGCTGACACGTCCACTCCCAAATATCTGAATACGTTCACCTCCTCCATACTCTCTCCCTCCAATCTGATATTCAATCTTTCATCACCTAATCTTTTTGTTATCCTCATAACCTTACTTTTTCCTGTATTCACCTTTAATTTTTGTTCTTTTGCACACCCTACCAAATTCATCCACCAATCTCTGCAACTTCTCTTCAGAATCTCCCAAGAGCACAGTGTCATCAGCAAAGAGCAGCTGTGACAACTCCCACTTTGTGTGTGATTCTTTATCTTTTAACTCCACGCCTCTTGCCAAGACCCTCGCATTTACTTCTCTTACAACCCCATCTATAAATATATTAAACAACCACGGTGACATCACACATCCTTGTCTAAGGCCTACTTTTACTGGAAAAAATTTCCCTCTTTCCTACATACTCTAACTTGAGCCTCACTATCCTCGTAAAAAACTCTTCACTGCTTTCAGTAACCTACCTCCTACACCATACACTTGCAACATCTGCCACATTGCCCCCCTATCCACCTGTCATACGCCTTTTCCAAATCCATAAATGCCACAAAGACCTCTTTAGCCTTATCTAAATACTGTTCACTTATATGTTTCACTGTAAACACCTGGTCCACACACCCCCTACCTTTCCTAAAGCCTCCTTGTTCATCTGCTATCCTATTCTCCGTCTTACTCTTAATTCTTTCAATTATAACTCTACCATACACTTTACCAGGTACACTCAACAGACTTATCCCCCTATAATTTTTGCACTCTCTTTTATCCCCTTTGCCTTTATACAAAGGAAACTATGCATGCTCTCTGCCAATCCCTAGGTACCTTACCCTCTTCCATACATTTATTAAATAATTGCACCAACCACTCCAAAACTATATCCCCACCTGCTTTTAACATTTCTATCTTTATCCCATCAATCCCGGCTGCCTTACCCCCTTTCATTTTACCTACTGCCTCACGAACTTCCCCCACACTCACAACTGGCTCTTCCTCACTCCTACAAGATGTTATTCCTCCTTGCCCTATAACACGAAATCACAGCTTCCCTATCTTCATCAACATTTAACAATTCCTCAAAATATTCCTTCCATCTTCCCAATACCTCTAACTCTCCATTTAATAACTCTCCTCTCCTATTTTTAACTGACAAATCCATTTGTTCTCTAGGGCTTTCTTAACTTGTTAATCTCACTCCAAAACTTTTTCTTATTTTCAACAAAATTTGTTGATAACATCTCACCCACTCTCTCATTTGCTCTCTTTTACAGTGGACCCCCGGTTAACGATTTTAATCCGTGCAAGAGGGGTAATTGTTATGCGAAATAATCGTTATGTGAATGAATTTTCCCCATAAGAAATAATGGAAATAAAATTAATCCGTGCAAGACACCCAAAAGTATGAAAAAAAATTTTTTTTACCACATGAAATGTTAATTTTAATACACACAAACTGAAAAAGGCATGCACACTTACATGACACTTACTTTTATTGAAGATCTGGTGATGATTGATGGGATGGGAGGAGGGGAGAGCATTATCTTCTTACTGTTTAGAAGGGGAATCCCCTTCCATTAGGACTTGAGGTAGCAAGTCCTTTTCTGGGGTTACTTCCCTTCTTCTTTTAATGCCACTAGGCCAGCTTCAGAGTCACTGGACTTCTTTCGCACAAGATATCTGTCCATAGTGGCCTGTACCTCTCGTTCCTTTATGACTTGCCTAAAGTGTTTC